TAATAGAATAGAAGAAAAAATAGAATATGGTGAAAACATAAACATATCAATTGAAGAGCTTGATAAAAAGGTAATAAGATATGTTAAAAATTACCTCAACATACTACAACTTAGAATAGAACTATTTATTAAAATCCAAGAGAAAAGCGATACTGACATTTAATAATTTATGATGATTAAACTAATATTTTTATATGAAATTATCAAAAAATGAATTTGTTTAAATATAAGAGGCCAATCTTTAAAGCTATTCATAAAGAAGGGATATATCTTGTAATAAATAAAAACCTATATCATTAAGGGTAAAATAGACACTTCTATAAAAAACTTAGAAAGTTTGGTCAACAAGGCTAATTTGAATAATCGCCCCAAAATTGTATCACATACCGCATCTTCAATAGTCTCTTCCCATTCTCTGCCGGTTTCAATATATGCAATTGGTTTTGTCTTGTGGATAATGGATACCCATATATGATATATCCATGGACACCATGGATTGTGCTAATTCATTGGGCCTTATTTTTTACAAAAAAGGCCCAAACAATGGAAAAAAAAAATTGAAGCCCAACTGCCCAATCCTTCACTTCTTCCCGCCCAATCCTTCTCTTCTTCTCGGCGTCTTCTTCATTTCTACCCAGCAGACGACGGTTTTACTGAAGCTCCCGACGGATCCAGCACGGACGGCCGCGAGGGCTCGCCAGGTGCTGGATCCGCCCTTGCTTATAACTATTTCGCTCTTTTGGCCAAGCCTCAGTTCTTGATCTCGACTATAGGTAGGATAAGCGATCACCAAAAACCTCCGCCTTGGTGAAGGCCGAAAAGGCTTTTTAATTAATATATATTGTATTTATAAACAATTAAGAAAATTCTAAAAAAAAAAATTATAGTTTTCAAGTATAAAAAAAGTTTTAAATACATTCATGACTTTTTTCTCACTTCTAGGCTGACTTTTAGGGTTCGTTTGATAGACAAAGGTGGAAAGAAATTTCAATTCCATGTTAGTTAGAAAATAAAAATCCACAAAACCCATATGAATTCGTTTTCCATGAAACAAAGAAAATGCAGTTTCAAGTGGTTGTACCTTGAAATTCGGTTTTCATTTTCACGTTACAATCAAATGGTCAAAGTAAAATTCGTTTTCCTCGGATGTGACGTATTCCATGAAATTCGTTGCAATCAAACGGGGCCTTCTTATTTTCTTTCCTTTTCTCTTTGTCGTTTCTTTTAATTTTTTACCTTACCTTTCAGCTTTTGCTTTATTTTCTGTGTTTGTTTAACCATACTCAATTTATCATCTCCAATTTCAAACCTCTGCAAATTCTCTAGCTTATATTTACATTATTTGACATAATCCTAAGATTCATATTTTTTTGTTTTAAATTTTTTTTATGTCTTGTATATTTTTTTCGGTGCTTTTCAGGTTTTTTCTTGTTTTTAAATTTTGGTATGAAAATATAATATTTGTTATATTTTGCAATAGTTACATCTATATTTTATTTTTGTTGTAATGATACTTTGACTATTTACGAAATTGATCTCTTAAGTATATGTGCTTATCTTATACTAAGCACTGGGTATGTGACACAATATAATAGGTAGTGTAATCAATTTTGAAACGTATAATGCTATTTAGTGACATTAAATGAGATGCACAATTAAATGACTCATTTAATTGCACTCCTCGTTGAGCTTATCGTATCATGCCATCTAAATTGGTGTCATAGCACAATTGGTGCTATATAAGCATTATTTTTACAATCATGCTACATGTATATAATCATTCATACAATATTTTACACCCCCTCACATGGAGGGGGGCCCACACATAATAAAATAATCGTGGGCCCCCCTCCATGTGAGGGAGGTGTAAAACATTGTGTAAAAAAGTGTGTGTACACATAGCACCACTCTT